CTCATCGAGACCTTTCATTTAAGTACCCACATGGCATTTTTTATATATTTTATATATGTCTTATTTGTGGAATACATAAATGTATACAATATCGGAATGAGCTTATATCTTTAAAAAAGTCAATAGTTAAGAACAATAATATTATTAATATATTATCAACAATATTCTCTTAATAATATAGATGAATGATAAATAATAAAAGATTATGATATGATAAAAAAAGAGATATATCATATATGTATAAGTGTATCGAAAATTGGAGAGAAATACCCGGTGGGTATATAGAGTATAATTTTATAAAAAAGTCTGATGCACGAAGCACGGGTGATGGCGAGAAGCCACCCCGTAATTACAAAATTGCAAAGTTTCCTCCTGGAGATGAGGATTCTGATGCCGAACCCTGCACACGTCCCAAATAACAACTGATGCAGATGCTGCGTGTGTGCTGGGACGTAGCTTCCGTACAATTTCAGAGCGGTTTAAAAATAGCTCTAAAATAATTTAACACGAGAGTGTATACGGGAATGAATGTATCGAGGCTGCAACTTACGTCTTATGTCTTGGCTTGGTTCTTGGTTCTTCTTCCAAGTACACCCGTTGTCATGATTGTATAGGACCCTACAGCATTTACACCGTACACCGCCTTCTTGAGAGCATCAAACCAAATTAAAGACACACAGCAACATCAAGCACAGGCTGAAAGAGGAAAAAAGATTCAGTGCTGATGCTGCTCCGTATCTTGTCTTGAGACTCGCCCGCGAGTGATCGTGATCGTTATCGTGTCGAACCAATAATCATTGTAATTCAACCAAATTACCTTTCGACTCGGGTCTCTCTATACTACTTGTATCTTAAAAAATTGCGTGAAATTCACTGATCTACTTTGACATGACAAAAAATTAAATTTCTCCATTCCTTTCTTCTCTTTGTATAGAATACAATGTTGTAAATTTGCATTTTGCGTGTTTTTAACTACGCTTTCACAAATATTCGTTGGAAAAAAAAAAAAAAAAAAAAAATTACCACAAATATTTCAGTAGTTGGTAATTATTATATTATAACTCATTAAATATTACTTACTTTGTATTAAAATTACCCTGTCACCTTTTCACGGGTATAATTTCTGTTCTTTTATTTTATTTTTTTTATTTTCAGTATATTAAATTGCAATTACCGGTAAGGAAAGCAATTTATTTTTATTTTGTGTGATACTAAAAATAATTTTGAAATTTTATTTATTTTTAGATAAAAAAATTAATTGATAATTTAGAGAAAAATTAAAAATATTTTTATCATTTACTTTGTTCTTAATTGTCACATGGACGTTATTAAAAACACATAATAACATGTTAAAAAATAGTGAGAGATATTTGTAAAAAAAATTAAATGACAGCGCCATCTTGAATGACAAGTTTAAACTAAAAGAATTTTTTTCCGAACCAACGCCGAGAAAAACAAAATGGCCGTGTTGTGTAACACACTTTCCCGCCAATTCATCACATGATCGCATCACCGGCATTGTTAAAAAATTTGCCACACCTCTTAAAGACGTAAATAATCGTAATTAGATAAAGTAACAATAAATAAACAAGGTAATTGTATTATTTTAATATTTAAATTGTCTGAAAAATGCAGCAGCCAACAAAACGTATGAAAACGTCAGATTCACATCTTAACGCAATTGCATCGTCAATTGGTAATAAAAAATTTGTTTTATTATTTTTTAATTGTTTTATAAAAATAATTAGTTTGATAATTAGTAATTGGAAAATTTTTCTGGAGTTTTTTCAGTGTAAATATTTTTCATAACCTAAAAATTGTGCAAAAGGTAGATACTGAAAATCATTATAGTGTTTCTAAAAAAAATTCTTTTACTGAAAAATAAATTTGCTTTTAAAATATAATTATATTTTTATTGTGTAGCTGTTAAATTTGTTTTGGTATTAAAAATAAATTTTTTAAATGAATTCTACTGTCAGTGCTATGAAAATTAATTATTTTATTTTTTTTTTTATTATTAAATTAGAACAAAAAATAATTTGTAAAAAATTTCACGTATTGTTTTTCAAGTTTTTTTTACAACTGAAAGTTTTTTTTGTAATCATTTTTTTTTTTTTATTAAAAAAAAATTCTAAGAATTTTTAGACATCGGTTAACTTAATTTTCATAAATTAATTATGAAAATAAAGTTAGCTGACATCTAAAAATTTTAATGATTTTTTTTTTTATTAAAGAATTATTACAAAAAAATTGAAAAAAAAATTTTTTCATTTGTTAATAACTTCAAAAACTATAAGTGCAATTTTTTAAAAATATTTTTAGTTCTAATTTAATAAATTAAGCAAAATAAAAAGATCGAAAATGTCGACTGACTATGATTATAATTAATTTAGGATATATTTAAAAATTTTATAGCTAATAAATTATGGCAAAAAAAAATTGACTTGATTTTTTGGAACAAATTTTTTTGATAAATAAAATGTTAAATGACTGCTAACTTTAATGTAATTTCAGTGCTATAAAAAACAAACAACAAACTAATTTATCAATTTATAATTAATTATTCTTTTGTTTTTACAGAAGCGATTGGACACCTTGTAAAATCAATTGGACAGACCCACGATTATTTTTTAAAAGTAAACAAGTTAATTGTGAAACACGTTCGTGACCAGGAAGAACCCAAGGTTGCTTTGAATTTAAATACAGTGGACACAAACGAGCCATAGAAAATAAAAAATAAGTAGGTGACAAGGTTAGATTTAAATTAAATAATAATTGACATTTTAATGATAATTATTATTATTAAATAAGTAATATGTAATAAATATACAATATAAATTTATAGTTTTATCTATACTTGTTAAATTTAGGTATTCGCTAGCTATCACAACGTGACTTATAAAAAAAAACTTAGATACTAAAAAAGAAAAAATACGATTGAGATGCTTAAATTTATAATATAAATACTTAAAAACTATTTAAAGAAAATTAAGTACATATTTTACAATCGTATCCTTCTAAAAAGACAATTTTCTTACAAGTATTTTAATGTATTAATTAATATTAGATAAATATAATAAATATAATGCTACATGATCATTTGTGAGTGATGAGAGAGACATTAAGTAATTTTAACAATAACAATAATAATAATAATTGCTTCCGCATAGTGAAAATTTGATTAAAAGAATTTACAATTAAATTAAACAAAATAAATTTAATATTTAGATAAATTATATTCATTATAATTGTTATTTATAACTTGGTTCATCTTTATGCTTTCTTCTAGGCATGATGTCTGCAAATATCGGCAGTGTAACTTTTCTTTCACTTGCTTCCCATGTATAATAAGTATCTCTGTTTCTGGGTTTTAATTGGCAACTAAATAATTAAAAATATAAATTATATTTTACGTCTTTATTCATATTTTAACATCAAAGTTCGTCATTTGTTAGTTGGTAAAAAAAATTTTATTAGTTATTATAGTTAATACAGTCATTATAAAATAAAACAATTAATTATTAATTATTGAAGAGCGGTTAGTTGTTACTTTAGTTAGTTAAACAATATAAATAACGTTAAATACAATTGTGACCTTTTCAAGAATAAAATCCCCTTCACCAGAATAGAGTCCGCAGTAAATCTGACGGAAAATAGTTAGCACAATTAGATAATTATTTAATTACACACCGGCAAGTATTTTTGTCGAAATAGAGTCCCTCAGAACATGGTTCTATCTCTCGACACCCGCATTCACATTTATCAGAGTCCCATATTTTAATATGGGAAAATCTTTTGCACTTTGCTTCATCATCAGTGTTTGAACACACACATCTGCATTCATCTTGTATATAATCTTGCTTATAATTGCATTGCTGTAATTTTTAAAATTGTTTCTTTGATAATTCATTACTCTAAGATTAGTAATTTATTAAGTTATAATTAATTGTGACTTACATCAGCTGTGATACTGCATTTGCATGTACAATTGTCGTGTACTTCCACTGGTATTAATTCCTTGCCTTGATAGGCCAATGTACCATTAATATACTTTGTTACTGCGATCTGTAAAACAATGTTTAATAATCTATATTATTAAGAGAATAAGAAAAATTTTGTGTCCAGGATAGTCATATGATAAAATCGGATTTTTTGGTGAAATTTAGTGTCATTGCAAAGGTCTTGATTTGAATTTGTACCTTTTCAAGGTTTCTTATCATTCTCATCGATAGTCAATTTATTATGATAAGTATTTAGGCTGCATTCGAAAATGCTCTATCTCTAGATACATAATTAAGAAATGACCTTGTATCTTGTGAACTATTGACATTTCTAAAGATATAAGCTCATCTCGATGTTACACTCATCAAGAGCTTTCATTTGAATACCCACATGCATTTT